TTCTACTAAAACGTGCTGTCATGTATGAATTTGGCTCAAGAAATAGAGATTTCGGTATTCCAAGGAAACGGTCGGGAGAGAATTTGACAGCAAATGGAATCGCTGGACAATAAATAGGGATTGTATTTGCTCAGAGGGCTCTGTTCGAGTTTGGAGTTCGGAGTTTCGAGTTCCTTACATGAAGTCGTTCGAATATTTCAAATCTTGAAAGAGATTTTGTTCCGATTCCATGTTAGGTAAATCGAATAGCATTTTGAGAAACCACGATATAAAGGGTGGAGCAATAGTAAAGTCCGATTGCTCGAGTACTATGATGAAATATCAATTATGTTTCCACTCAACATAGCTTTCCACAGGAAGATGCTGACATTGCTGATCCCAGAGTTTTGTTACCCTGAATCCACCGTTTCCATGAAATCAGCAAGGTCGTCATGTACCAAGGAAGAGCCGTTCTGGAATCAGTTCTTAACTCAACTTTGTGTGTAAAACATCTCTTGTGCAAAATTTGTCATATCCATGGACTTAAAAAAAAAATATCATACTTGCATACGAAATAGTCTCGGAAATAGTATATTACACACCGAGGTGGGGAGAGATTCATTTTTGTCATGAGATTAGTTAGTTAACCGAGACGCAAAGCGTCGAGGTTAGCTTTGATCACGAGACAGAAATGAATCTTCCTACCGAGGTTTGTTCACTTTTTTATTTACAAGTATCATATTTCGATCAAAATTAATAAATCTCTGTTTCATTCTGAACAAACCTAAATATTACATAACTGAGGAAGGGAAATAGAGGTGTGTAATGTGACACTCCCCAACCTCCAATGACGTTAGACGTTAGTGATGAAGAAATAAACGGGTTTTCATTTGGTCTTCTAGGACTTGACTTTTGATTTTATAAGTGCGCGTTCTCAGGGCATGGGGCCCTTCATTTTGAATGAAAACCCGTTTATTCCTTCCAAAACTTATGATGAGAGATATCGGCACCTTTCTTAAACAAATAATGTTCACCTCCATTAATTCCTAAAATACGGCTGAAGATAGAATTGTATAAGTTCGAAACATATCCCGTTGAATAACTGCATCATTATTAAAGTTGTGGAGATGACTCTGAGCTTTTCTTCCTCCTTTTTCAATTCTGTTTTCTCAAATTCATTTAGGCCGCTTAGGGTTAGATGGTTTAAAGAAAATTGTGCCCTCCTTGAACCGGGAGAGATATTTTTCTTCCTTCCAGAAAACACTACTGTATTTCTAAAAAGAAGCTTCAATTAGACCGAGTAAGATTAGATGCTTTGAAAAAAGTGGTATCCCTTTTTATGCAGGAGGGATATTTTCATCTCATTCATCCCTGAAAAAATACTGTGGAGGCATCTACTGTTGAGAACAAGTTTTAACAAAATTATTTCCTAAAAAAAAAGGTTTCTTCCATGTGAATTCAGGAAAATGCTTCTTTTTGGGTTATCCTATCAGTTCAAGGTAAATGAAGTACTTTCTTCCTCAAGAAAATCAGCACATCCGGCAATATATATTGATATGCCTGACACGGGATTACGCGAAGTTCTCAACATTGATGAAATAAACCTCTGGTGTACGCACTTCAATCCTTTCCTGTTATACAATTCCTTGATTTTCGTCTACTTTGGTAAACACAATATGATGGCGTGGGTGAATCTCGATGAGTTTAGTATGGTGCCGTACCAAAATTACATGCATCAATTTTTCACCGAGAAGATCATATTTTGAAATAATTCCAAATTGAATATCACGTGACTCAATTTGAGATATGACAATTGTGACCGAATTATGACTAATGAGGATAGGGAATACATTTCGCGATGTAGCCGTACCGGAGGTTGGTAGAAATGATGTTCGTAAGTTTTACCTACCTTGAGCCGCATTAGGAATCACGCCATCTAACATTCAATGCGTCATCTTCTGAAATTCAATTGTTTATCTCTCTTTACTAGAGTCTAACCATAGCACCATAGCGAGGTAATATTGCGTCTCGCTCGCTGCTCGCTGGGCATGAGAAACTGAAAATTTCAGGCCGATCCTGAGAAGAAACATAATTGAAATAAGGAATCACTTTCGACCTAACCAATTAATGCCTCTTTAGTATTTTTTCGATTAATTACTTTGAAAAAAAATTAACTGGAGTAGGGATCGAACCCCGGTCTTTTCGTTCGGAGGAAGTATTAGTCATTTATCATTTGTTCTTTTTGAGTACAAAAGCAATCTCACACTTGCTACTTTCAACCTAAACGAAGAAGAAGTCTTGAAAAAACTATATGATCTCGATGAGAAGAAGGGAAGTGGAACGGAGGGTATTCCAGCACTTTTTATAAAGAAATGCGCTAATAGTTATATGTTCCGTTGAATAAATTGTTCAACTTATCACTAAAGGAAGGTCATTTCCAACTTTATGGAAAACTGCATTCCTCATTCCAATTTTCAAAAACTCTGGAGATCGAGAACAAGTTACAGATTATCGAGGTATAAGCAAACTCTGCATTATGGGAAAAGTTTTTGAAAGTCTGGTTTACACGACATAATGTTCAATCGATTGAAAGGTGCAATTATCGAAGAACAAAATGTTTTTTTTGCAAACCGTGCAATTGAGACAAACTTAGTAACGTACACTCAATATATTTGTAATCAGATGGATAAGCGAGTTCAGGTGGATTCTATCTACACCGACTTCAGTAAAGCTTTCGATAAAATCGATCATAACATATTGATGCTGAAACTTTCTGAAGTTGGAGTACATGGCGATCTTCTACGGTGGTTTTCTTCGTACGTTTTTAACAGATGCCAAATTGTGAACATTAATCGTTACCAGGCTGAAGCTTTCACAGTGACCTCAGGAGTGCCACAAGGCTCACACTCAGGTCCTCTGCTATTCTTGATCTCCATTGATGACGTGAAAAAGTGATTCGTAAACTCTAATTTCCTACTCTACGCAGACGATCTGAAAATATATTCTAATGTCGAGTCTCGTGAGGACTGTGAAAAACTAAATTCTGATCTTTTGAGGTTCTCACAATATTGCGAAAAGAATAGATTATTTCTAAACATAAATAAATGTTTCATTATCTCTTTCACAAAGAACGTCAAGAATTTTGAATTCAGTTATAATATGTCTGGTACTGTATTGAACAGTGGAGGAAATCAGAGATCTAGGGCTTATTTTAGATTCCAAAATGAATTTAAACAAACATTATGATTATATAATAAGTAAATGTAATAAAATGTTAGGTTTCCTCACTCGAATTTGTAAAAGTTTTAAATCTCAGAAATCATTGAAATCTCTTTACTTTGCATTTGTTTACAGCAAATTAAATTTCGCAAGTGTGATTTGGAATCCAGGATATACCGTACATAAACTACGGATCGGAAAAGTACAGAATAGATTTGTAAGATTTCTGAATTTTGAAATGAATGGAACCTACAACAAAGAAAATATTCATCTAGTTCGGCAGTCCTTTGGTATTTTGAAACTTGAAAAACGAAGAATAATCACTGACTTAGTCTTCACGTTCAAGGTTCTAAGGAATCACTATGACTGTGCAACATCATTATCATTTTTCTCTATACATATTCCTCCTAGGAACACTCGCAATAATTTCTTTCTCAATATAGATTATCGAAATACAAATTTAGGCAGCAATTCTCCAATTATTAGATTGAGTAGTAGTTTCAACAAATATTGTAGTATTTATATTTACTGTATATCTTTATTCACCTTCAAACAGAAAGTTAAAAGAATATTCCTCACCTAAAATTCCAATATTAACATTTCAAACACTTTAACAATCATATATTTACTCATCTTGTTGTTGTGTTGGCCAGGGAATGTGAGTGGATATGCGAGGTATTCGTCATAGATACCTATCTCCTAAGGCTAGGCCCTACATATAGTTTATCTCCCTGATGGTAGGTACCCAATAAGAGGGTGAGGGAGCTGTTCAGACGTGATCAGTGTAGGGAGAGTCTCGCGTTTTTGGAGAAAAAAAAATGGTAAAAACCGTTAAAACCTCCTTCTTGTTCTGCTCCGGCGGTTGTACTACACATTTCTGTCTAGCACATCTGCTCGAGTTCAGTGTTCGGAGGAAGGAACACTACTCCAATGACCACCACGCTTCTGGCAAAACAAACTACAAGACAATTTTATACGCTCTTGACTCACCACCGTGGCAATATATTCCGTATAGTGGTGTTATGGCAAGACTCTAATCTTTAGAGAGTTGAAGTAATCACTGTACGTAGAGCTCCACGTAGATGTTAACGTACGAAAAATAACGTTTACGTATCAATTGAAGTCGCCACTTTGGTCGTCACTGTCATCATAACGTGATAATACATTTTGTTTTCGGTTTGTATTGGTCATTTTTGGTTGTGTATTTAGATTCGAACATTTATTCCTGTCAAAATTAGAGGACTCCTTGATGCAAAACTCGTTGGTGATCTCGAATTTGATAATTTTGACTCATCGGCATATTTCGAGTATCGTTTTGGTTAACGTACGTTGATATTTAAGGTATACGTGAAGGAACGTGAGATAACCATATACGTATTGATAATCAATACGGATAATCTCTATCTGTTTCCATAGCGAAACATGAAGCCGATTTTTGAAGACAAATGACTATCCATAAGGAAAAGTTTTGAAACGATCAGACACATACTGCTGTGATTGAAAGGCTAGTAAACGTCATTGTCCACCGAAACGCATGTCTTTGATGACTACTATAATAGCGCATGGCGCATGCGTATCATGCCGCCAAATCCTTATGGATATTCATTTGTTTCATATTTTTGGCTTCATCCTGGCACCCGTTATGATCCGTATTGTTTATTAATACGTATATGGAGATAACGTACACCCGTAAGCCCACTAACAAGGCAAACGTGAAGAATTGGAAAATGCGCATGCGTAGCTGTCAATTTCCACGTTTACTTTAACGTTCATGACAACACTTCAACTCTCTATTATCTCACCTCAGCGCCGTCGAGTCGGCCAACTTCAGCTCCAGCGTCAGGCTGTCGCCTGAGGTGAGGAAGCTCTCGGCCAGTGTGCACGGCCTCGGCAGCCGCGTAGCGTTGGCCAGCGCGGAGTGGTCGCAGCTCCGCGACACGTGCTCCTTGCAGTACCGGGCCAGCAGGGTGACGTTCTTGCGGCCGCTGGGGCCGCTGTGTGGAGCGCTGGAGCCTGGTCTGGCCTTGAGCTTGGTTCTGTCGCCGCTGGAATTACATGGATAACGAGAGTCAGAAATATCGGTGTGTATAAGGTTCATTCGGGTTCGAACTATTATTGTTCTAGAACTGTCCGGAGTTTGCGCAGTAGAATCGGTCGCGTTCGGGTTTTGTGGAACTGTTCTAAGATTTTTACGCGTTCTTGTTGTTGTGTTGTTTTTTCAGAATCGTCCTGGAACGGTCCTAAACCTATCCGAAACCAGAAGCATTTCATTTAGTTTTCGATTCTGCCAGTTGAAGCGTAACGTCATAATGATATATTTTTGAATATTCTACTGTTCATTGATCTTATCAATATTTTCTCAATATTATGAAGTTAGTACATCAATTTGATAGTAGTAGATCTCCATCTTCAGGAAGCAGTGGTGAAGGAGTTATACTTGCTGAAGTTGCTGAAAATATTTTACCTAATCTGATAATTCCCGAACTTTTGTTAGATGAACCGAAAAATGGAGGATTATGTTAGGGAGCTTGCTGTTATATTCAGATACACAATTCATTGAACATTTCTGGTGAGTGTCGAAATCCATGTGCCAGAGGGGGTTCACCATCGACTAAAAAAGTCCTCAAGATAGACCTATGTAACATCCGAGGTCTAAGTGAGAACATCAATGATGTCCATCGACACCTTCAAATTGAAGAGCCAGACATATTGGCTCTTACTGAGACACAGGTCAATTCATCAACCAATACGACCCATCTGCTCTGTCCTGGGTACGAACTCCACACACGTTTCAGATTCAAGGAAGGTCTCTGCCTCTACTCTGAAACGAATCTCTCATGTCAACAAGAAAAAACTTTGGAACCGAATAAGTTTTATGTCATGTGGTTCAAACTCGATAGCCAGAAACAGATCAAATACCTTTGTTGTCTCTACTTATCACCAAATGATCCATCCCATGAAGAGCTCTTCGAATTCTTGTCTCTGAAGCTTGACCAAATTCAACAGAACCATCCAGCAGCAGAAATCATCATCATGGACGATTTCAATGTACACAACACTGCTTGGCTCGTACACTCTAAAAGAACGGGCGACAAGTCGAAGCTTTCGCCATCACTCACAGCTTAGAGCAGCTCATCAAAGAACCCACACGAATTCCCGATGCCAATAACCACTCAGCCAACAAACTTGACTTATTCCTAACTAATAATTCAGCACCCTACACCATGGATGTACGAGCTCCACTTGGCAATACTGACCACACACTCATCTCCACAACCTGCCCATTTTTCATTCCATCAATTGCTCCGGTACCCCCACGTCTTATATGGCATCACAATTCAGGAGATTGGAACGGTCTCCGCATGTTTTTCTCCGAGTTTCCTTGACATAGAGTATGCTTTGACTCTGAGGACCCTTCACAGTGTGCTGCGGAAATATCCGAGATCATCATGCTCGGAATGGACACAAACATACCTCATTTTTCGAAAATATCATCACCATCGGAACCCTGGTTCAACAAAAACTGTTCTAGAATTGTTGACTTCAAACAAACAGCCTACCATCGCTGGCGCAAAAACCCTTACCTCGCGTCTAGAGCAGAATACGTTGATGCCAGGAATAACTGCAGCCAAACAATAGATATTCCGAAAACAACATACAATTCCAAGATAAGATCGAAACTCATAGATTGTCCCAATGGCTCCCGTTCGTTTAGGAAGAGATTTCACTAATAGTTCATTTCCACCACTGTCCAAATCCAACGGCACATTAGCAACAACATCGCAGGAGAAAGTAAACATCTTTGCAGAGATGTTCGCAGCAAACTCTACTTCAGATTCCCAAGGAAAAGTGCCGCCAAACATTCCACCCGTTGAGAGTCGAATGCTCGAAATCGTCTTCCGTCAACGCACAGAAAACATTTAGGTCAAATTTCACTTGAAAACCCATTTCTTTTGTTATATGAAAGTTATGATCATTCGAAAAATGCTAATTTCTTCTATTGAAAATCCTATCCCTCGTGAATTTTGATTCGTCGCTCCAAATTATTTTCGACAAAAATTCCGAATCCTCCTGGCGAGCTTGAACTTTACTGAATTCATACGGATGCATTTTGTAATTTCCCAAAATTCTTTGCACTGAAGTATGTGATACACCCAAATCTTTTTCTGTACTGAGAATGGATGCTCCTGGATATGCATGAAAATATGCCAAAACGTCAACAATATTGTCTTCATTCGAAGTAACATGTTTTGGTAATGATGGAGGCACTTTTAACTTTGAGCCATAGTTGATAAAATCATTTTGTGATCTCACAAACTTTCTCTCGTTCATTGTTGTCAATTCAGGATACCTTTGGTTGAATTGCCTGTTGCGTAGATATTTCGAACAGCATTTTATGCAGATTTGTGTGAATTGACAATGATGAGAGATAGTTTTGTCTTACTAACGACACAAAAAGTTTTTCTTTGTCAGTAGGTTGAATGTGAAGAATTGAATCCAACAGAACCAAGAACTTGAACTGTTCGGAAATAAACTTAGAGGATACTTACAAACTTAAACACTCCACCCTTTGATAGAGCTAACCCAAAAGGAACAAAGTTACACATCAGTAGTTGGTATTTGACAAGCTCCACATCAGAAGTTCGTGTTTTCTGAGCTCCTTTGAAACTTCAATAAGTTGATATTTATTAAGATAGAATAACATGGAACGAAGTTTTCTACTGTATCTGACACTCAGCACACTGTTAACTTAGGATTGTGAACTCAGAGCGATATATACGTCCACTTGAGTTAATTTTCTACGAGATTGTCGATTGAAGCTTTTATTGTTCGTTCGCACAATCTGCTGACGGAGTGGTGTGTGTTACGCTTTCATTGCATTCACATTTTTGTTTCGCAAGGATTATTATTGAAAAAACATTCTATCTAATCCGACATGTGATCAATGGGTCCAGAATCTAGAAACCAGTCGATGATGATCTCAGTATTTTCTGTTATAACTAAAAATCAGATGAACTCATCAGTTATTCTATATGGCATCTTCAACATCGACTTCTGAATTATTCGCTTCCTTCTCAACCACTTAGACTTCTTTCCATCAAGTCGATATTTCTTGATTTTTGAATAGATCAACATTTAAACTATCGGGATGATTTGATATTCATTGATGTAGTTTATGTCAACAATATAGTTTTCATTTACATTGCTATCACCCTACAAGTTCATAGCTAATATCTATTATCACTAATAACTAAGTCGTAGGGCGTAGGTTCTAAAAAAGCGAGAAAAGACTGGAAGTAAGACCTTCCTCTTCTGGAGTTGACTTCTATAAACTATGGAATTGGCTGTTTATGAGTTTTAACATTTTCGTCATGATCATATACTCTCTGATACGAGTATTCATAGCTCTAGTTATTGTTGACAAAAGGATTCTGATTTTGAGATATTCATACAAATATATTAGGATCTTTAGTGTGCAAATTAAGGCAGCTCAATAACTTCTGTTGTACTAATGCTAAATGTAGCCTCCAGTTGAATGGGTCACAGCTTGGATTGAAAAGTGCTCCAGTATAACAAGTCACTGTCCCATAAAAATTTGAAAAAGATGTAATGAATAGATATTAGTTCATGAAAGAACCAACTTGCAGAGAGGGAGAGAAAGAAAGAGTGGAGCGTTCCACAATTCTACATCAATTAGTGATATAACAAAATCATCATCATCATCATCATCTTCATCTTCATCATCATCATCACAAGATCCATTGATGATATTTTTCCGAATATCTTCAAAAACACGGTGAACAAATTACATTATAACTATCTGAGTAACAAGTCGTTTAAATTACGAAATGAGGTACATTGAATTAATGAAATGTCTTCATCTCTTGAAGCGCATGGAAGAAAAGTCCGATAATATTTGCACATCGTGTGTACCCAGAGAGGATAGAAAGAGGAGGAAGGCGTTGAACATTTTTTTCAAACTTTAGAAGGTCATGCATAAGTTCTTGGGAATTCCTCCGTAGGCAAAGAATTCCAAAGCTTATTTGCCGTTCTATACACCGAGAATGATCCAGTTATACAAGTATCTATTCAAAAACATCCTATAAGTGCTACATAAAATATTTCAACGACGAAATGTCATCTGATGAACGTGAAAAGTCAACATTCCTAACGTGAAACAAGACACATTTTCAAATCACTTTTTTTGTTTTGAAAATGTTACCTAATCGATTTGAAACTGAACACCTACAATCGTATTGAGAAGGAACATTCTCAGATATATTTCTGAACACAAAAAAATGGATATATATATTTATGAAAAAATAAATACATTGAGAATTCGCATTCTCCATGTGATGAAAATATCAATTCTTTCACGGTTTATTCAACAGAAAACAATTACTTTCCTGGCTATATGCCACGACGAAAATTGAATTACATATATTGAACACACACGATGAGAATTTGAAAACCAAATCTTCTGAAGTAGAGAATTTGCATTCTCCTTCATATGCATATAATATAATTCTGACTATTCAACAGAAAACAACTACTTTCCTGGCTATTTGCCACGTGGAACATTGAATTATATCTGTTGAATATTCAGAATTATACTATATGCATATATGTATATGATGCAAATTCTCTACTCCAGAAGATTTTGTTTTCAAATTCTCATCGTGTGTTCAGGAAATTCAATTCAATATTCGTCGTGGCATATAGCCAGGAAAGTAGTTGTTTTCTGTTGAATAAACCATGAAAGAATTGATATTCTCATCACATGGAGAATGCGAATTCTCAATGTATCTCTTTATATATACAGGGTGTTGCGAAATTCGACTGACAACGCTTGACAGGTGATAGCCCTCGTGATTTAATAATCACTGAGATAGGGACATAGGGTCTTCAAGTGTTCAGTTCTAGAAATACTGGGCGTTAAAGTTAAGAAATAAAAATAGTTGTTTCGCAATATCTCAAGAAAAATTGAATATAATGCATTCAACTTCGGTATATGTTTTCATCTTTGAATGGGTAGTTTTTTTGA